AATCGCGGGAATTGTAAGGGGCAAAGAAAGAGTAGCGATCTGCGTAATACTCTCCCCGGGAATTTTGAGTAATATTTGTTGTGGTCACCTGACTATTTGTATGTACAGCCGTACAGGGTCCCAAGAGCTGCTGCTAAGTTAAACAGGGCGCCTCGTCACACCAACCCCTTCAAGGGGCTAAAAGCATCTACAACCGGACCCCATACCCGTCCCACACATTGACTGAACGGAAAAATGCCACCCAACCGAACGTCCCATATCCGGCCCAAACGCCCGGACTGACCGACGCGAGGCAATGGGCGTCGTGCGAGACATTGGTGAGGCGGAGTCGCACTCTCCAGTGCCGCATATGATGCACGGCCCCCACAGGCGCCGCAACCGCGTCATGATGGACGTGGCCGGCTCCGACCACGATGGATCCATCATGGATCTCACGTCCACCGGCGACATGTAGGCAACGTGCTCCGACGAGGAAGAGTATGACTTGGAAGAAGGCGGCGACTCGAGTCTCGTGAGCCGATGCGTTTCCCATGTCCTACTTCACCTTGCCAACGACTACAACAACACTCTGATGGGCGCAGCCAGCCGCCGGACATGGACAGGGTGGAGTTGGACGAGCTCCACTCAAGATTAGTTTCACGATGCATGTTATAATATGGATTTGATGATTTAAAAATGATGTACCGGTTGTGGAAACGACTTTCTTTTTGTGCTGCCCGACTGTCCACGGACGCGCCCGGGCGTTTGGAGACCAGATTTTGGTACTTGTGGTTGTAGATGCTCTAAATAGCTACAACATAGCAGGGTCCGTCCCGTGAGTGACGGTTAGGTTCCCTATCTAGTGACTGGTTGGTGATCACTTCTGGGCTAAGTTTTCTGGTCATGCCACCGACGACCGCTCTTTCCACCATCCCGACCATTCCTCGCTAGGTCATGCGTTCCCCCTTCCACCATCATAAGCCTTGTGTGTGTGCTTGGGCACACGATCGTACACCACCAAGAGAACCCTAGGTTTTAGGTTTTTTGATTTCGTGCTCGCTGCAAGGTGCAGTGATGGATCGCGTTGAAGGATTGATGAAGAGTTTGAAACTTTTGGAGTCAGAGAAGAAGGGGAGGAAGATCATCTAGAGTGGAGGAGGCAAAGTGGGGGCAGTAGAACTGTAGGCGATCACAAAATTGCTCTCAGATAAGGCATCCATGGCGGTAGCATTGGCAGGGGGCTGACTAGGTTTGGTGTCCTATGAAGGGCCTGGAATGTAAGGATTTGGGAGAAAACATTTTCTTGTTCATGTTTCATCAGCAGTCAGGAAAGTGGAAGGTATTTGAAGATGGTCCGTGGGAATTTGGGAAATTTTGAGGATTTTGTGCCGACTAAAAGTTCCGGTGTGATCATAAGGGTGAGAGTATTTTATCTTCCCCTGGGCGTGATGTGTAGGGAGGCTAGGGAGGTGATAGGCAATTTCATGGGGAAGTTCCTGGAGGCTGACGTGGGAACATATGGAATGGCGGTGGGGAAGCATCTTTGAGTGAAGACAATAATTGATATCACTGAGCCACTTATGAGGGGGTTTATGGGGTATGAGGACGAATAGTAGGTTGTTGCAAGGGAGAAGAGGAAGGTAAAGGAGAAGAAAGAAGAGGAGTTGTGGTGCCGTTTTGAATACGAGTTCTTGCCGGGTTTTTGCTTATATACCATTCATTAACATTCACGACTTATATACCGTTTATGTGTAATACAAAATTTTAATTAATATTTTTTCGTTGCACCTAACAAAATTAGTCAACTAACTAAGAAGCTCGGTATTAACACATATTTATGTATTATTATATAATTATGATGGTTGTTGTAACCAATTCAAATCAAATTTTGTTGTCGAACATTTGTTATTTTGCAAGTTCTGATTGGTCGTGAAGAGACCTTCTCTTAAACTAGATTCATTCACAAACTAAAGCATGGTACATTGCCAATGCTATTTTTCTTGCTAGTTAGATGTATATCAAAGCAATTACACGGGATCACATCCATTTTCATATTCTCATATGCCTTAGCAGATGATTCTACAACATAAGAGGTCAACGAATATCATGAACATACCTACAATTGGTTAGATATGTGTGATCCAGTAATGGTTATACGGTGCATGTGGTACTTATAAGACTATGGTTTTCCTTTCCATTCTCGATGTGGTGAGGGAATGTTCAACAAAAAAAGCCAGTGGTGCATGTACAGTAGGAGAATTTAGAATCTAGGTACTCCTATTTATTTTTATATTTTTTTCCTTATTTGGTCGCTTGCACAAGATCAGACTCACCTGGGCCGGAGCTTGTGCTTGGTTACCTATATACCAAAAGGGTTAATTGAAAGTATTGCACGGTTGCATTTAAAGATGCAAGGTAGTGAATAAATGTAAGCAATTCCATGCGCTGACAAGCAACCACCAAAGTGCACAGAGAGAGAACCTTAGAAACAATTTCAACATCGTCTATCTAGGCACGAGCCATGCATGTAAACACTCAAATGCCTAATAAGTTGTCCCTCAACCGTCGTTGATATTCTGGCTTGCAAGCTGCTGCCTGAAAGAAGCCGAACAAGAAGAGCAACAGACTATTCACTTGTCGTGATGAGCCTGCCTAAATGCCTACCTAATCCTCCAAGCAAGCAAGCAAGCAAGCAAGAAGCCAAGTTTGGATGTGGCATAATTAGTCTTGAGTACAGAGGTAGCCAGATGGCATGAAGCAGAGAGCCACAAACACACACGCCCCCATGTCAATAGGATCCTGCAGCTCGGGCACGTGGTACTTGTACTTGAGCACCAACACGGTGACCAGAATCGCCGGACCCAGCACGGGCGTAGAACACTGCAATTGACAAAAAGCAATTCAGCATACAAATTCAATACTTACATAAGATAGATAGATAGATAGATAGATAGATAGATAGATAGATGGTGGTGATTTACGGAGTGTACCCTGGTGATGATCCTAAGGTGGTGCGCATATCGTCCGCGGTGGATCAGATCAGGCCAGTTGAGCAGCTCGGCGCGGCCTTCCTCCATCTGCCGGAGCAGCAGGCTCCGCCGCCGGTTCTCTCGCTGGATCTCCTGCTGGTACAGGTAGTGCATCATGGTGGTTGGCGGTGACGGCAGATCTGACTGCCGGCGGGGAAACTACTAGCACTAGAGAGACAGAGGCCGAGGAGGCGGCGTTTCAACCTGAGTTTATCTTAAACGCTTCGGAGGCGAGACTGCTCCGAGTCGCCGCAGAGGATGGGCGTCGTGCCGGGGCCGGATTGCCTGGATCCCCCAGGAATTGTGGTGGGGCTGGCAAAGAGTAACGATAATAATCTGGGCCTAATAATCTGTAATGATAATTGGTGTTGGTGGCCTATTTATACAGGCCCAAGAGATGCCTCGCCTGCTCGATAAGGGGCGGACTGCACACTAAAAAAAAAAAGATAAGGGGCGGACTGCTGTGCTGGTCACGGACTCAAGTCTAGTCCCAACACCTTGGGCTTGGTTCAGTCGTTCAGGAACCACCAACCCGACAACCAAGGCTTATTCACTCGCACAAGGTGAGGTACAAGGATAAACTCGCGGTTCCGTTTCGCCTTGCATTCTAGTCTAGCCCCAACACCAGCAGCGGCGGCGGTAATGTCATCCCCGCTAACTCTGACAGAAAGAAGCGCGAGATAAACCAGATGAGATTCCTTGATCGCGTAAGGCCGTCCATATGGGTTCCCTCGTCTAGAATGGAATCCAGACCACCTTGCAGAAGATGGATTTGGAAATGACCATCACTGCTAGCTGCTAGGCAGCGTCAGAATCCTATGAAGATGTCTGGATTTCCCTGTTTCCAGCATGAGCAACCAATTTCACTGTGAGACTCATGGAGCACCAACTCGTCAACCAAGAGCCGAGCTTGCTTGGCAAATGCACTCAAAATGGTGATACACAAGCAAACGAGCCACTGAAAGCCTTAATCAACTTGTACAAGGGAGCAAGAGACAGCCAATTTTCGTGCTGTCTCCACAGAGGTCACTGAAATAAGAGTGGGAGCTAACAAGTTAAACGGTTCATTCCTCCAAGTGTACTTCACACTTGATGAGTACTACTACACTGGATCAATTTTCAGATGGAGTGGACCATCACTGGCCCTGACCACAACACCAGAAAACAGAAGAACCTACACCGATAAGCCATTCCTGCAACCTGGACATACCTGCATAATAACAATCCAATCAGTTAGCCCACAAAGAATACTTTACGTAGTGAAATATCACTGGGGAAATACACGGCAAAACAATTGGAAGTAAAAACATTCAGCTTCATTATAAGCATAGTATATACTTTTTATAAACTGAAGTAGAACTACTCACATAAGAACAAGTATAGCATTGGCAGGTACTCCCTACGTCCCAAAATATAAGATCATTTCATACACTATATACCATAGTGTCAAAAATGGTCTTACATTTGGGGACTGAGGGAGTACTTTATTAACTCATAAATAGCATTTGTTTCAGCCCAAACTGGATTTCATTTTAACCTTTGCATGGCACTAGAAGAGCAGAGCTTTGAGCATTTGACCACTATTTCTATTACCGTCAAGAGTTTACAAAACGATATAATACCTCCATATAAATTCACAAATTTATGTAACCTAGAAATATTTTAATTTATGAACCTAGTCGACAAACTAGTGATAAAGTTGAGAAATTGACTGCATTTAAAAAAACATATGACTTGATTAGAGATGCTTATAAGTTAGTACAACTTACTAGTGTGATAACGGAAACTGTACTGATTAGGATTCTTATGTTCCGGTATATATTGTTCTCAATTACTTAGGCAAAGTAGTGGATGTCTTACAATTACAAAGGGATTTAATACTTTCATAAAAAAAATCATCAGTCAAAGCCCATGCAGCAATATATTGTAAAATGACACATATATCCCTGATGAACACATCCAGGAGATAAAGTCATGTCACCTTTTCAGTCATCACAAAGTACTAACATGCGCTAACAGACGAGCATCTCCCATATATTTCAACACTTCATCTCTGCCATGTACATCAACAATGCCAGTACCTACGAGCATAATAAGTCAGGAACAGATGATAATTCGGATGGAAAACCATCGATATAAGAGAGCAATATAATGGAATATCTAGATGAACTGAGAGTTGTCTAGTTATGTAATCTGAGAAAAAATACATGAGACATACAGAAAATTATTTATTCTCTAGTGCAAATGGACTCACTGCAGGAAGATATTCATTTTTAACTGTTATGTGTCACATTATCAAGAGAACTGCAGACCAGCACTGAATATTATCATAACACAATTCACGCACAAGAAGAGATACTTTCTAGAAATCATCTTTAGTAAACTCGATTCCTTGTCAGACGAAGCGGAGCAAATTAAGACATGGCAGAACTAAAAGCCCCACAAGAAATATATAATAGGTACGGCCAATTTTTTCTCCAGTTGTACATCTGAACTAGCTAATCGCAGCATGGCCCTTCCACAGGTGACAAAAACCATAGCATTCATTTCCAAATGTTATCGGTGCTGAAAAGATATATATTTCAGATAGGCACATAAGACTACATTCGAAACACAATTTATGCATATGACCAAAAGAAAAGAACAGCAACCTTAAGGACTACTCTCTCCGTCCCGAATTACTTTCTTAGATTTGTCTAGATACGGATGTATGTATCTAGACACGTTTTAGTGTTAGATACATCCGTATCTAGACAAATCTAAGACAAGTAATTTGGGACGGATGTAATATTTTCTTTTAGGGTGTGTCTAGGGCACATCTAGATGTGCTCTAGTTATTGCACATCTAAGTGAGTGAGTCAAGCATAAAGAGGAAAAGAAAAAAGAAAAATAAAATTTACACACGAATCTCAACATAAGATCAATGACATAGGACTTAGATGTGCAATACTTATGGCACATCTAGATGTGCTTTAGCAAAACTGTTTCTTTTAAAGATTTCATCAAGCAGCGAAAGGAAAAATTGACGTGATTTGAATTGAGCTTCAATCATCAGCATAACACTAAGTATATGATACGCACTTCAGCAACTAATTACAAAAAATAAATTGATCTTATAATAGTACAAAGTAAAAAATTGATATTTTTACCTGCAGCATAGCAACATTCATATGGATAATGGGGAAAGAAGAACACCGTATTGGAAAGTTTCTTAAACTGCATTGACTGGAGATAGACCACGAAGACACCAGAAGCTGTCGATACAAGGATTGCATTACTCTCCTCGGCAAACCCAACAAAAGTGAGGGAGTCGCCCTTGCAAGTTGATCTAAGTTCCCCGAATTCAATATCTCTGTCGAGCACCCATACAGCTGAACCATCAGAATCAGGCTTTCTCTTCCATAGTTGGGCATTGAATAGTGAGAGATGGATGAAGCCAAGCCCACCATCTTCGGCGGGCATAATCCTCAATGTGTGATACCCGGGTTCTATGTGTGCCGGCAGCTCGGTCACGGCTAGGCTCTGATTATTCAGATCAAACTCAAGTACGAAATACTGACGATGGTCCTGAAGCACATTCGCCGCATAGGTATGTAACCAGTAAAGAGAATTCCCAATCAAAGTACTGGATTGGTCCATAGGTACAGAAGATTGCAGCTGCAGTGATTTGCTCTTGCTCCATATGCCAGTCTCCGATGAGTAAACCCATGCCGAAGCTCTTGTTTCTCCTCTGTCGTCATAGGCTACCAGGGCCACCTGGAATTGGCTTGAACGGCGGCGTTGGCCGCGGGCAGGGCGAAGCACCGCCGCGTTGAAAAAGTACATCCGGTCGTTGTCCAGCTCTGGTGGGAGGGTCAGGCAGCGCTGCTTGCGGGCGACGGGGTCCCACACACTTGGGCTGCGCGGCGGCCTTCCGCTGAGGAAAAGGACAAGCCCGTGGCGGCAGTCGACGATGCGGTTGTCCTCGCGGCGAGACATGGAGAAGCGATCCCGGGGGATGCGATCTGGTCGATCCAGCACTGGTACAAACGGACAGGAGCGATAGTCTTCGAAGAAGAAGCCGAGGAGAGGAGGCTTGCCGTGGTGGTGGTCGCGGAAGCGGCGTTGGAATCGGGGGTCGGCGACGAGGCGGCGCCAACGCTTGCAGACGCGGGAGACCCGGGGGAGGGAGGAAGGCCGCGGCGGGAGGCGGAGGAGAATCTCCCGAAGCATGTCGTCGTCGTCTGGCAGAGAGGCGGGCGGCGGAGAGGTGCTGCGGCGGCGGGGAGCCATCTCCCCTCTCACGCTCATGCTAGGGCTCCTCTCGGTTGGTGATTTGGTCGGCTGGGGAGGATGGCGTTGTCGACGCCGCCGGCGAGTAGTACTACTAGCGAAGCGAGGGGATTGATTTTGGGAACGTTTTCTTTTAAACCCGTCCCATACACCCAGCGGCCGCCCGGTCACTTATTAGTCACGAAATTCCGACTAAGACGAACATCTCAAACGAGCCTCAAACACCCGGACTGACCGGCATCTCTCATATATTCAGCCTAAATATAGAGCGGATATGGGGCACCCAGGCGTGTCCGCCACGTCGGACCCGGCCCAGGCGGGCCTGCCCGACGCCACATATATTCCTCCCCATCCGCTTGCCGGATCAAACCCTAGCCACTTCACACTCCACTCTCATTCACTCCCTCCACCATCCAAGCTCACCTCCAGCGATTTCCGGCATGCTAGGCAGCGGATCTGACTCCGACCAGTCCAGATCCGTCGACTGGGGTGTCATCTCGTGCGGGTGGGAGGAGGCAATGGCGGTCCGCATTGCACTCGCCGCTCTCGGGAGGACAGCGCCGGCCGACGGCAGGATCTGCCCGACGCGACTCCATAGCGTCGGCTCAACGGACGCTCGGGTCGGATCACCACGGTCCCGGCCAGAAAATCACTCCTTCGCCACCACCAGTAGGGCGAACTATGAGTCCTACCAGGACCGGTGTGCCCGCCGTGGGAAGGAGAGTATAAGGGTCGTCGAGGCCCGTATCACGGCGGAAATGACGGCGGTGGATGCGGGGGCGCAGGCGGCCGTAGAGGAGGAAGCCATCTGCGCCCGCATTGTGAAGAAACGGGAACGGAGGAACAAGCGTGCCCTCGCCCGAGAGCAGAATCAGGCGGTCCGTGCCATGGTCGAACTGCCACTTAAGGGGAAGAAGGAGGACATCGAAGGTGAGGAACAGATCCGGCTCGATCCCTACTGCATCTTCGAGCGGTACTTCCGCGAGAAGGACATCAAGGATGCCAGGAAGGGCAAGGGTAGCCGTGGATGATCACCACCGTAGCCAAATATGCCAAATTTTGGTAGGCCGGTGGCAGTTAGTAGTGATGGTGTAGCCAGATGATATATGTAGTGCATCGACGTAATTGCATGAGTTTGTATGAATTTGAGATATCTGATTGTGAGAACACAAATTTAAGGCTTGACTGATCAGTGTCCGCGGACACACCCATGCGCGTCCGCAGGCGTTTGAGGGCCGGATTTGCAAAGTCTAGTTATATATATTTTTTGTTTTTGAGACAAACTCCAGTTATAGATGCTCTAAGTTCTGGACCATTGGATCCTTATATTGACTTCAAGATTCGCGCAATTGTTTTGTTCGCTCGCGCCTCGTTATCACGTGCAGCGGGCCGTGTACAAACTCCTTACAAGTTAGGACGGGCCGTTATCTTCTTTATTTTTCACGTTATTGGGCTGGCGGGTCGTTTTTTGTTTGTCCAGAGTAAGCGTTTTCACCGCTCAGCTAAGTGAGTGTATGATGCTCAAAAAAAAAAAGCTAAGTGAGTGTATTTTCTCAAAAAAAAAAAAAACTAAGTGAGTGTATGTTTCTAAAAAAACCTAAGTGAGTGTATCGTTCAAAATTGTTCCATTCCCTCATCCACTCGCATTTCGTCACCCCGCTCGCCTTTCCTCTCCTGGACAGTGATCCCTTCAAGTGGCGACGATTCTCGTGACCGAAGACGGCAAGGAGAGAGCCGCAACAGGTTTTTGTCCGTCCCCTTTTCCCCATGCTTGTTTAATTCTTTGCTCCACGCGGTGTTTGTGTGTACTCTCATCAATCTAGGGTTTGCCCAAAACGAGAGATTTATGTGTACAAATGCGAGGGGGCTTTTCAAGATGGTAGTGGTGGATGGGGAGGGGGGATAGATTTCATGTCTAGATGTTCAGTTAGGTGGTAGGATTCCGTTCCTCTTTTTTAGCAATAAGTTGATTTTGATCTAGTGTTTTTCTGTCCAAATCGAACAGAGATTTCATGGGGTTGGTGATCCGTTCGTTCTTTTTCCCAGCAATAAGTTGATTTTGTTTTAGTGTTTTTCTGTCTGAATTGAACAGAGATTTCATGGGGTTGGTATTTTTTTTTGGTTGCTAGGTTCGGCAGCGTGCAGCAGTGATGGTGGTGGATTAGTGTAGGGTTCGAAATCACAGGCACATAGACTCATGTCGGAAATTGCTTTTGGCAGCCAAGCTCCATGGAGGCCTCCAAACGCAAAATCCAGAATTCGTGAAAATTCATATTTTTACATTTAAAAAAATTCTGAAAAAAAATACAGCCATACATGAAGGCATAATGCACAATTTTGTAAATTATCATGACAAAATACATTGAAATGAGGGTTGTACAGAAGAAAAAATCGGAGGCTTTTTAACACATGATACTATTCATTCTCTCATACCAGGAATTTTTCTTTTTTGTGCAGGTCACATTTCAATGTATCTCATCCTGAAATTTTACAGACATACACCTCACATCCTTGTTTACTTGTACGCATTTTTTCAAATTTTGTTGAAACCAAAAATTTTGAATTTTGTTTTTTTTTTCAAAAATTCGGCCTCCATGGAGGCCGGGATCCAAAACGCCATACTCCATGTTCTCCCATTGATCAAAGTTATACTAACGTTGAGACACTTGTTTTGGGACGGAGGGAGTATAAACTAGTGATAAAGTTGAGAAATTGACTGCATATAGAACAAAACCAAACATTTGGCTCGACTAGAGATACTTATCAGTAATAACTTAGCAGTGTGTGTTAATTAACAGAAACTGTACTAACTATGGAATTCTAAATATTTAGTTTCTGGTGTATATAGCTTTCAATTACTTAGGCAAAATGGTGGTTGCCTTACAAATTACTGGAGTTAATAATTTCATAAGAAAAATCGTCAGTCAAAGCCCATGCAGCAATAACCAGTAAATTATAAAATAGCATAGATAATGTTACGTCACCTTCAGTCATCACATCGTACTAGCATGTCTCAACAAACAACCATTTCACATCTTCTAACACGTCATCTCCACCATGTCCATCACCAATGCCAGTACCTACAAGCACATTAGGTCAGGAACCAACGACAATCCTGATGGAAAACCATTGATAGAGGAGAGAATCGTAGTGGGATATCTAGGTGAACTAAGAGATGTGTAGTTATGTGATCCGAGGAAAAAAAATACGACACATGAAGGAAATTATTTATTCTCTAGTGCAAATGGATTGGTTTCAGCTTCCAAATGAAGAGTGTAACTGAGTAGCTTTTAGCTTTAAAATGTGCCAATGGAGTTACACATTCAACTGGTTCAGTCTCAGCTCCCATGTTTAGCTGTTATGTGTCACATTGCCAAGAGAACCGCGTCCCAGTACTGAATATTACCATAACACAATTCACACAGGAGAAATACTTTCTAGAAATTATATTTAGTAAACCCAATTCCTTGCCAGACTAAGCAAAAAGAAATCAAGACATGCCAAAACTAAAAACCTGACTAGCAACACAATAGGTTCGGCCTATTTATTATTTTCCAGTTGTACATCTGAACTAGCTAATCACAGCAGGGCTCTTCCACAACCGACAATAGCTATTGGGTCGATTTCTAACTGTTATGCATCTGGTGCTGAAATGAAAAGATATATACTTCAGATAGGCACATAAGACTACATTTGAAACACAATTTATACATATGACCAACAGCGTAGAACAGTGACCGTAAGTACTATTTTCTTTCAAAGAACTGGTCAAGCAGCAAAAGGAAAATTGATGTGATTTGAACTTCAATCATCAGCGTAACACTCAAGGATATGATAGGCATTTCAGCAACTAATTAGTACTAAGAATCAATTTATCTTATAATACTGCGAATTGAATTGTATAAAGGCTGGCTATTACCTGCAGGATAGAAGCATGCAAATGGATAATGGAGATGGAAGTCCCCCATATTGGAAATTTTCTTAAACTCCATGGACCGGAGATAGACCATGAAAACACCAGAATTCGTCTGTAAAAGGATTGCATTACTGTCCTCGGAAAACCCCACTATGAGGGGGTATCGGTCTCCCTTACAAGCTGATCTGAGCTCCTCGAATTCAATAGCTCTGTCGTGCACCCATACAGAACCAGGCTCTCTCTTCCATAATTGGCCGTGAAATGTTGAGAGATGGATGAAGCCAAGCCCACCATCTTCGGTCGGCACAATCCTCAAGTTGAAAGGGCGAGCTTTTACTTGTGGTGGCAGGTCTGTCACAGTTAGGCTCTGCTTATCCAGATCAAACTCAAGTATGACATGTTGAAGGTCAGGATGCACCTTAAGTAACCAGCAAAAGGAATTCCCAATCAAAGTACTGGGTTCTGGCGTGGACATAAACGATTGCAGCTGCAGTGAGTTGATTTTGCTCCAGATCCCGGTCTGCGATGAGTAGAAGCATGCGAAAACTCTTGTATTTTCTGTGTCACAGGCTATCAGGGCCACCTGGAAATGGCTCCCTTGGCTGCGGGCAGGGCGAAGCACCGCCCCGTCGAACACGAGCATCTGGTCGTTGTCCAGCTCTAGCGGGACGATGAGCCGGCGCTGGTCGCGGGCGACGGGGTCCCACACCACTAGGCGGCGCCGCGGGCTCCGGCGGATGAAAAGGACGAGTTCGTGGCGGCAGTCAACGATGCGGTTGCCCTTGTTGAGAGTCATGGAGAAGCGAGCGCCGGGGATGCGATCTGGTGGATCCAGTATTGGAACAAACGGAGAGGACGGATAGTCCTCGAGGAAGAAGCCAAGGAGAGGGGGCTTGCCGTGGTGGTCGCGGAAGCGGCGTCGGAATTGGGGATCGGCGACGAGGCTGCGCCAACGCTTGCAGACGAGGGAGGCCCGGGGGAGGGAGGACGGCCGCGGGGGGAGGCGGAGGAGAATCTCCCGGAGCATGTCGTCGTCGTCTGGGAGAGAGGCAGGAGGCGGAGAGGGGCTGCGCCGGCGGGGAGCCATCTCCCCTCTCGTGCT